TGTTAGGTGGTGTTTTCCCCATGACAGAAATCCAGTCCCAGCCACGTTACCCCCACCCAGAAGTGGAACTTCCGCTGCCGGGGTGTGCTTGCCAGCACGGGAGGCCAAGGAGGCCCAGCCTCTCCAGCTTGTGCAAGCAGGGTTCACCGCGCTTGTCTCCTGTTAGTGCTGGGCTGCAGCTGGAAAGCGAAGTCCCCTCCTGACACGTGTGATTTCTATTTGTATCGCGTCTCCTGAGAAGAGGCTCAGCAGCCCTGCCAGCAGCTTCTTCGCGGGGCTGGGGGTAGTGTCGGCGCCGCCAGCACCTAGTGTTGATTCTGAGGACACCTCCTCGTTAAAGCAGCTCACTGGAGGAGCTGTTGGGGGAGACCCGTCCCTTGCTGTGGGATAGGACAAAGTCAGAGGAATGCAAGCCTGAGTCCCCACCATGTCCCCTGCCCATCAGAGCCTGAGTCAGGGCCACTGAGCCTTATGTAGTGGCCCCGGCAGCCCAGCCCCCCTCCCTGCTGAGCACATGGGATCTGGGGTGATTTAGGAAGATGGTCTGTGACATTGCTTCCCTCCACTTTGCAGAATCCCTTCTTCTTTTAATTTTTTTTTGTTTTTTTTAGAGATAGGGTCTCTGTCTCCCAGTCTAGAGTACAGTGGTGCCATCATAGCTCACTGCAGTCTTGACCTCCTGGGCTCAGGCAATCCTTCCACCTCAGCCTCCCGAGTAGCTGGAACTACAGATGTGAGTCACCACACCGGGCTAATTATTTTTCTGTAGAATGGGGTCTTGCTCCGTTGCCCAGGCTGGTCTTGAACTCCTGTCCTCAAGCAGTCTTTCCACCTCAGCCTCCCAAAGTGCTGGGATTACAAACATGAGCCACCATGCCCAGCTGGAATTATTGATTTTGAGGGAAAAATCAGGAACTATAGTCAGAGTCAAATGCTTTTTCTAGGAATTAATGTAGCAACTTAAAGACATCAGGACAACGTGTACAAGAACCAGCTTTGACAAAGACTGCTCCTTTCTAAAATGTTACATTTTTTCTAAAACAGAGAAGGGATCTTCAGTTTTCAGAAACTGTAAGTTCCGGCAGAACATTCTGCTGTGGATTAGCTTCCTTCAAGCAGTGAGGGTGGGGGGGCAGACTGGGGAGTGTGCCCAGCTCCTGCGATCCTAAGGAGCCACGATGCTGAGCCTCGTGAAGGGGTTGGCAAGAGGCCCTGGACCTTGCCCATCTCAGCCTGGTCAGGGCCTGGGCAGCCCGGACCTCAGGGCCTCCAGGGAGGAACAGTTGGCTCTTCCCCAGGAGCAGGGAAGTTGTCGCTATTTTCTTAGGTAACATCTTGTTTTTGTATATAAAGGAATTTGGGCCACACTGAAATAACAGTCTTGGAGTCTTGCCTGTTTCTGTGCCCGTGTCCTCCGGGGGCTGTTAGACACTGTCACACCTTATTTGTTGTTTTCCAGAGGAATGTCACCGTCTGCAGTTGTCGGCTCATTTCCTCTGCCCAGGTGCCTGCAGGGTCATGTCCAGGGAGGTGAGGGCCAGGGCCAGGCCACGCGCAGGCCGCAGTGGTCAGAGTGGGATTGTCATGTCCAGTCTTGAGCTCTGTGGGGGTGGGCAGTGGCCTGTCGGGAGACTGCCACCGTAGACCAGACCTTCCCTCCCATTGCGGGCTCCGTTGTAGGGAAGTGCAGAATGAGGCCAGCTGGGCTGAGTGCCGGGCGATGCAACCCCTGCCGGCTCCAGACTCTTGACGCACAGGCATATGTGAAGAGCTGTGGGGAGCGTGGGGCCGGCATTACGACTCTGTTGGAACTTTCCGAGGTGACTTTGCTGAACCCACTTCTCACCCTCGAGACCAGAGTTTGCACCCGGGTCTCGGCTGTACCGGGAAGGTGGCTGTGTTGGAGTCAGCATCAGAAATGAGAATGGACAGAAGTCTCTTCCATGGGTCCCAGGAAGCCAAGTCCCCAGACTCTTCCACAGCTCCACAGGGTTCTTTTTGTTGGGGCATCATTTTAACTTACCCTTAAGACACATATAAAATGCAATTAGCATAAGGATTATTTTCAAAATGATGATGTATTCATGGAAAAGGTGGTGGCAGGTGGAGATGCATCCAAGTGACTGGAGCCTGCAGGTACCACGGGGCTGTGTATCCACAGCTGGTGCCTGCCTGGTTGGGCAGCACGTGGGGAAGTCTCACATGTCTCCTGGTCACATCCCATCTCACAGGACCTGGGAGGATCTCCCCTTCCCCCAACTCCTGAAGGCCCATCTGCCATCACGTGGGAAAAGCCCAGAAACGAAGATATACTTCCAGCTGAACACACCGTTTGTGTGTGTTTCCTATGGCTGCTGTAACAAGTTGCTCTATGCTTGTGGCTTAAAGCAACACAAGTTCATTCTCGGAACGTTCTGAAGGTCAGACGTCTAAAATGGGTCCATAGGGCTGGGTTCCACAGAAAGCTGTGTGGGAGAACTCCTTTCTGGCTTCTTGGCTCTTGTCTCCATCTGCCCTCTATCTTCAAAACACAGCCCCTTCCTCCAGCCTCTGCATCCATTGTCTTGTCTCCTCCTTACTCTGACACTCCTGCCTCCCTCTCAAAAGACCCTCTGATCATGTCAGGCCCACCTAGATACTCTAGAGTAATTGCCCCATCTCCAGGTCCCTTACTTGATCACATCTGCAGAGTCCCCTTTGCCACGTGAAGTCACGCATTCACAGATTCCATGGGTTAGGATGTGGGCTTCTTTTTTGGGCACATTAATCTGTCATAGCAGATAAGAAGCAGCTTTATGACTTGCCCATTTCAGCATATTTTATTAGAAAAACAGCTGGAGCTGGGCAAGGTGGCACATGCCTGTAGTCCCAGCTATTCAGGAGGCTGAGGCGGGAGGATCACTTGAGCCCAGGAGTTCAAATCCAGCCTGGAAAACATAGTGAGACCCCATATCTTAAAAACAAAAACAAAAACTGAAATGTGGAAGACAGACCTGCAGGGCGACTGGCTTCTTCAGATCTAAAGCAGGAAGGGCTTTGTTTTCTCTCTACTACTCCGCCTCTTCTAAAACTACCTCCTTAGAAGTATGATCCTTTGTACAGCATTGGCCAAGTGCCAGGCCTGTGGATTGTAGCCTCACCTGTCACTCAGGTGGGGTGTCCATTAGGAAGTCATGCAGGCAGTTTCCCCTCACCAAAACATTGTCCCAGAAGATCAGAGGATGACTTTGAGTCTAGCCATGAAGGGTGTGTGCTTAGGAGGGCACCTTGCTGCACCCACACCTGTGAACACGGGGGCAGGTTCCAGGGCTGGGAAAGACCTTCCAAGTGACCAAGAGGCCACAGCCACCTTGTGTGGGCCCAGCTCTCGCGGACAGCAGCACATGCACATTTATCAGACTCAGGATGCTCCTCACTCTTGCCTGGCCCACCGAGGGACCACCTCCATCCCGCCTCGCCCCTGGCCAGCCCATCCCAATGCCACCTCCATGTTCACGGTCCTTAGATGCCAGTGGCCTGCCTGTTCTCTACTCACAGCCTCTGTGGCTCTCTGTGATGCACCAAATTCAGGCCGAGTCCCTCCAGGTCTGCTAGGATGGGTCACCACCTATCATGACGGTCCCCTTACACCTGTGCAGTGCAGCTAAGCACATACAGGGTCCTTTGAGAGGGAGGCAGGTGTGTGCCGAGGTCAACTCTCACCAGGCCATCGGGGCAAAGGAAGGATCTTCTCAGAAGGTGGGCGGTGATTCTGAGACCACCTGCCTGACCGGGCGAAGGCGTACAGTGCTGGAGTAGGTGCCGGGGCCACTGAGGACCACGACAGTCAGTACCAGAGTTATGGACCAACCCAGGAGAGTGTGGAGCCTGCAGGCAACCTGGGAAAGCCTGCGCCACTGAGGGCAGGCCGCGGAAGCTGAGCTGCACAGGGCACCTACTCTGCTTATTTCTGTTTGTTTGTTTTCAGCGAAGATGTTAAAATGCCCAAACAACTTGTATGAAAAAGTGACAGGGGAAAATAGTTGCTTTTAACATAATGGTTTGAAAAGTGTAAGGTAGGAAGGCCAAAAGCTGCCGTTTTCTTGGGGAGAAACGATCTCCACTGTTAGGGTGAAAAATGAGGAATTTTCTAGAAAAGACCTTGGGGTGTGTTATATAAGAAATACCAAGTTAGT